CTGATTGCAAGCTGAAAATGTTTGTGGTTGAAAGCAAAATGGGAAGCATAAGTCAGGCTCAAAAACATCCTCGAGATCGCTTTGTTTTGGACGTTGTTGTTGTTGTTGTTGTTGTTGTTGTTGTTGTTGACGTCACTATCACCACCTACTGGCACAGTGAAATGTTTTTGGTTGGAATCTTATAGATTAGCACAAGAACTTGATGACATGTCGGATCAGAAGCATGCTGAACTCTGACCGTTGCAGACTGGAGATAGACTCACCTGGCAGTCACAGAATATTTGACAAAATTCTGAAAACATATCAGGAGTAGTGCAGCCAAGACTAAAATATGGGCATCAAAGAGTTTGCATATTTGGTCCAGCAGTATGACACAACTCTGTGAGTAACCGGGCTTTTATTCCTTAATCTCCCCTTTTCTTTGGAGAAACAAACCAGCATTCCTTTGCTCAGTCTGAACCGCCTCATGGACAGAAACCCCACATGTGACTCACAGACCCATTGTCATGGCTAGACCCGATTCAAGCTTCTTTTCTGCTAGCATCCCTGCCCCCGGTGCCCCCCGGCCGCCTCCGCCACCATTCAGGGAGTTGTTCTTTTCCGAGCTGAGTGACAGGAGCAGCCTTGCACTGACCTGCAGCTGAACTGGAAGAGGGGGCCAAAGGTTGGGTCCCTTATCTGGGATGGAATGCTGTGCAGCCTAGAAAGACAGGTCTCAGATAACAAGAGGAGGGAGACACACACACACACACACACACACACACACACACACACACACACACACACAGAGATAGGCTGAACAGAAGTGCTGGCGTCTCCACTTTAAGTGTGTATTGTTTTATGAATACCGTTCTGTAATTACCCTTTTAAAAAAAGAAATACTGTCAGGGAGAAAACTAGTTGAATTATTCATTAAGTTTTTCACAGTTTGCTGTTTTGAAATGTTTGCGTTGACACCTTGAATGTATTCAAGGCTGAACCGAACCACACCTGCTGCAGGCTCCTCCTGTCTTTACCAGCATTCCTAAGCATCTCACAGATGGTGAGATTTTCTTTTCTCGTGGCCTCGGATGATATTTCCATGAAGGCGTATTTCTTCAAATTCAGCCCCTTGGAAACATCTGTAGAACTTCCAGAATGTTCCCACACAGTCAAAGGACTCAAACTAAAGAGATCGTGACCTCCAATCTGTAACGCTGAGATCTCTGCAACATCTTTCTGTTCCAGCTGGAGAAACATGTGAGCAAGGCATTTCTACGACTGCTTTTATTTGCAACTCCAAATAAAAGCATTCGGCAAGGCGAACATTCGGCAAGGTGGATTCTGTCAATCACTGATTCTCAAACTTTTTGGAAAAAAATACCATTTCAGTAAAAACTAAGGCTATGAAATAGCACCATATTACCATATTACAGGCATTTTTATAAATATTAATTCAACAAGACTTGTACTTTTTGTCTCTTTTACTGATAAAGACCAAAAAAGAAAATCAAAATGCCCTGGTGCTGCAATTTTTTCTCTTAAATTTTATGCAAAATAAACAGAAGGAGCCCTTGATGTCGACATTCCAAGTCAAGCATTTTGTTTGTGCTTCTTGATTTCAAATCCAACATGGCCACCTAACGTGATTAAAGTAAAAATGTTTACTTGCGCTTGCTACAGTTTGGGTCTCATTGAATCTTTAACAGATGTTGAATATTCCCCGTCGTATTTCTCTTTTGATGACGTTCTGCTGGTGTAAAATTACCTGAAGCCTCATTTTTGTCTGTGTCTAGCAAGTCTCCAATGCTGTTTGGTTTTATATTTGCCTTTTTAAATGGTTGACAAGTTTTGACTAAAAGCACCACAGGTTTTTGTACAACTTTTTGGAAAACGAATTTCTTATAGGAAAGGTCTTATGAGCTCCAAGTACACTCTGTCAAAGCATAGAACATTGGGCTTCTTTTTACACTTTAAAAGCCATTTGTGAGCTTAAATAACCTGGTGTATGTGCTGTGTGCGTGTGTGTGTGTGTGTGTGTGTGTGTGATTGTGTGTTAACAGTGGGCTCATGTCCTGAGCCTAGGAGTTAGATCTCAGCTGCTGAAAGCCCCCATTGTGCAGCAAACAGGAAGAGTATTTTGTAAGGAATGTTATGAAAAATATAAAAAAGAAGTCAAATGAAAATGTATCAAGGAAGAATTTGGAAATTGTAAGAAAAAAAATTTTTATATATCCAGATGCAATTAACCTGAGTTAGTAACCTGATGATCAAGGATTGTAAATCTAGTAGTTTTTGTGCGCTGAAGGAGGCTGCTCTTCTTTTTTGGGGAAGGGCACAGATGTTTCAATTCATCCCACATTTTCAATACAGATTTTGAGAGAAGATTCGACGGCCTTAAATCGAGCACCGTGTCATCCAGCGCCAAGCCTGGATCAACCTCCGGACCTGTGGCTGGATGTTGGAGGGGAGGGGGAACTGTCTTTGTCAACGGGGCTTTGTCAGCAGAGGAAATTGCTTCGTGAACTTGAGGAAAAACACAAATTAGCCCACTTTTGTTCCTCCTGATCTAATTTGGATGGCTGTGGTGCCGGAGGCCGGGAGGCTGAGGGAGGCGTTTGGGGTTGTCACTCATTCTTTCCAGGATTCTCGTCTCCCACCGCATGCATCTTGAAAATGTAAATCTAATGGATCCCAGGAATTTCCCAAGCAACTGGAAATCTTTTTTTTTTTTTTTAATGAAAAGTGTTAAATTCTTTCTGGCTCTTTTCATTTAAACCCGAAGTCAAACCTGGAGAACATTATTTAAAATGTATTTGTTGCTATTTGTGTTTCTGAAGGGGATGGGAGTGGGATTGATCATGTGACAGTGAAGGATCTACATTTTTTTCATTTCATGCCAAACCTCTCAGTGTAAAGAGTTGTTTGTAAGGTTTTACATAAGCCAGGCTTCATTTTAGTCTTTTCTCTACCCTCATTTATGAACGTAACGGAAAACCAAGGAAGACTGAGCCAATGTTTCTCTTCCAGGTTTCAGCTTTGCTCGAAGCCGCTGTCCAGCACAGACACTGTTGGTTTTCCAGTTGTCGGTTTGAGTTATTCCTGTGTAGAGAAGAGTGTTTGACCTCCGCTTTACCACGCAGGCCTTTGTTGGGCCTCTGAGGCAAACCACTGGTAACCTTCGAGGATGTTCGTCATTAGCTGGGCAATCTTTTATACGGAAACACAAAGGAGCAGCAGCAGTCAGGTCCGCTCTTCGATCCAGCGCTGTGTATGTGCCGAGAGTGTGTTTTCGACTCTCGTGTGGAGTGGGATTATGGTAATTTTGTCCTTGGAGATAGAACCGTCTGACAACGCCTGCGTTCATTTGTCAGGAGAGGTATAAACAATGAGGGCGGAGAGGATGGAGGGAAGGAAGGAGCTGAGGGATGGAGCGGGAGAAAGGAAAAAGGTGTGATAAACCACTTGATGAGCAACGAGCAGGATGACGGTCTGATGCGGCCGGAGCCTGGTGGAGTGAGGGGGGAAACTGGGCGTGATGATGAGTCAGTTGCTGAGACAACAGATGTGATTGAATCATAAAGAACTGGAAGGTGAGGAAAAGATATAAGGAATGGCTCGTAATCTGTGTCACTATGGTGACAGCATATCAGACAAACACAAGTCCTGGGTGAGGCGTGGGTTGGTTTGAGATTCTCAAGCAGACGCGCCGCTCACAGCTTTTCAAAAACGGTTTACATTCTCCTTAAGTTTTCACACCATAACTACGCACCTGCTGCTTTGTGTTTGGTAAATAAGGGCTGAAAGAGAGGAGCTTTCTTTCTACTATCCAACTGGCAGTGTGCTCAGCAACAGGTGGGGTAGGGTCAGCACTGTGTTGCCATGTGCTCCATACAAAACTTGTGTCACTTCCTGTTACATCTCATTAGAAAGACTTGAGACCAACCAGTGTTAGTGGTTTGTTCTGGAGAAGCTTCTTCATTTTAAAAGTGCAAACATCGTCGTACACGTTCAGCGTGGGCTTCACGTTCGTTTCGTGTAGAGTTTGCTGAATGATCCGGTCCGCTCACACACACACACACACACACACACACACACACTTCAGCAGAGCGGACACATCTTGGCAGCAGCAAATAATAATCCAAGCAGGCGGGACAGACGGCCGGTTGTGCAATGCAGCGCCATCTTGGCTTTAGATCAACTAAAATAAAAAAACAGAGAAATGTACATCGACTTTCGATGCCAACATTTAAGGGTGCATAATGTGCACCTTAATAAACAGAACCAGAAAATAAAAAAGATTGACAAACCCATGAAGGTAAACAACCTGATTGTACATTAAGTCCATGTTACTCTCATTCCTTTGCTGCAGTTTTTCTGTCACATCAGGTAGATATTTATTTCAAGTTTGCTTGAAACAGGAGTTTGTTTATTTGCCAGCTTGCTTACTTATGCTCTTCTTCCATCTGTTTAAGACTAAAGAATCATGACGCTAAACACAAAACCTCGGCCTTTCTGGCCATGTGGAAGATTAATGATGAGGACTCAAGATTGTTTTTGACAAGACAGCAAAGTTCGTGTTAATTATTTTGAAGTTCTGGGATTTTTGCGGCTTTAATGAAGACATGAAATGCTTTTGCTCTGTCATATGTGGATCTAATCATGTGGGAAGTTCGTTTTTTCATCGCAGTTTAGTAAAACAACAGCCCCACCTGGTGGCCAACTGAGGGAATAAAATACACACTCCCCGTTTTTTTTTCATTTCTTCAGCTGACTCCACACTTTGTATCACTTTGACATTGGACCCCTTACTGCAAATTAAGACAAGTCTGCTTTGATTAATGTGCTGATAGAAGTGATTTGTTCTGGAAGGAAGAACTTAGGATAACAGTGTGTGCATGCAGCTGGAACAGATTTTAAAGTACTGAGGATGATTCCTGAACTCTGTCTCTTTTTGAAGTTTCTGCTCTTACCATTTGTCAGATCGATGACCTTAAATTATGCATTTTGTCTTCTTGCAGGCCCAGAAGAATGAGAGGGAGTCAATCAGGCAGAAGTTGGCCCTGGGCAGTTTCTTCGACGATGGCCCGGGCATCTACACGAGCTGCAGCAAGAGCGGCAAACCCAGCCTGTCCTCACGGTGAGACCTTAGAGGTTTTACTCTGCTCAGCAGCCGTGCGATTAATTATTGGAAACCACTGTGTTTTTTTTTTTGTTTGTTTGTTTTTTTATTGTTTTTTTAAGAAATTACTGGCTCTGGTTTGGCAGTCGTGACTTTCAGGAGCAGAATCAATCAGGAAAGGTTGACTCTAAAAGTTCAGATTAGTCGTCACAGATCAGTGAGCTGACATAAAGCAGAGCGTGTCAGCGTGAGTAAGTCTGATCGGCCTTTGTGGTTCTCACTTCCTTGAACACACCTACATGCACACACACACACACACACACACAGCGCTGCCACCTCTGACACCGAGCCTTACTGGAATCCAGTCTCCAGTAAACACTCCTGTGCACGGCTTTTTTCTTGCTCTTTGAATCATGTGGATTTCTCGCAACTGTTTGTTAGCGTTGACGAAAAACAGGAAACTCATGACCATACTGTAAATGACACATTAGTCTGGCCTTTGAAGAAATTTCGAGCCCAGAAATATGTCTAGGTAATTGAAGCTGTCCTCTGAAACAACAGTCAGCCACTCGGGTCCTGTTTTAAGCGGACCTGCATGGATCTTTGCCGTAATCAATCGGCCCCTGCTTGTAATTACTGCAATGAATAAGCAGATTATTGATCAGCAGTGGGGCGGATCTGCGCCCTAATGATATCCTGCCCTTCCGCGACACAAACGCCACCTCCCCACCGACACCGCCTCGCCTCTGGATCTGAGCGGATTGTATCGGACCTACTGGGGGCCTCCTGAATCGATCTGCATTGGAGACAACAAGAGGGATGATTAAAAACACAAGCCCTGTTTAATTGTAACCAGTCTGCACTATTGGTCCAGCAAAAGGAGCAGCTTCTGTTTGTCTTTTCCTCTCATGTCCTCAGCACTCCGAATGCTGTTGTTATTACTGGGGCAAAGAACTAGACTGAACTCCTCAAACACTGTTTGTATTTCACGGGTCGTTCTCTGTCCGTCTGTCCTCTTTTCGTCCCCCCGCAGGCTGCAGAGCGGCATGAACCTGCAGATCTGTTTTGTCAATGACAGCGGCAGCGACAAGGACAGCGATGCGGACGACAGCAAGACTGAGACCAGCCTGGACACACCGCTGTCCCCCATGGTACGCACGGCTGCACACAGCGCCGCGCAAAAGTCCTCCTGGCCTTTAAGCATTTTCACATACTGTAATATTATCGCCCTAAACGTCAGTGTATTTAAATCGTCTTTTGGTAGATTGAATGAAAAGTGTTGCACAGTTGTAAAGTTAAAGAAAAACGATACATGGTTTTCAGTGGTGGGCACTCCTTTCTAAGAAGTTAGTTGTGCTAGCATTATTCCACTAATCATAAACATTAGTTGCACTAAAACTACAACCAACAAGGTATTTAGCTGAAGCTAATGCTAACGCTCCAAATTCAGCCATATTGCTACCCATCACGTCTCAGTGACCCAACATGTGCAACAACATGGTAATTTGTCCTCAAAGGAGTCAAATTTGTAATTCCACCTGTGAGTTCTGCACTTTTTGATTTTGCCTAACCGACCACAGCCGGGTTTGGGTCAGAAGGAAGGGAGGACATCAGTAGATTTAAGACTGTTTGCTCTGTCGATCTGCAGCGATGCATTCTGGGCGCAAGAATCAATGTTTGCTGCGCCGCATCACTGAGGAGTGTCTGTTTTGGGATTGTTGTTATAAAAGAATATCATGGAAGGATGTGACAAACTTTATCATCAAAAAACGTTTAAAAATTTAATTCACTAATAATACAGCTGTTTCTAGTCGTAATGTGTGATCTTAGTGATACTTTATGCTGCCAACATTTGTATAATTTACATAAAATGTCATATTCACACCTCCAAACATCTGCAACAAGAACCTGATTTCCAGATTTTAACATCAGGACTCTATTCTAGCATCCTTCAAATCAAGTTTAAATCCTAAAACTGTTGAAATTATATCTGCTTTTCAAAGACTGCAACACCAAAGCACCAATTTAATTTTAATATTATAACTTACATGTTCTGTAATTCATATATATTTTGAATTTCTTTTAATATCTCGTTCATGTTTCATTTTGTTCCTTCGTGTCTTGTGTTTGAAATAAAGTCATTGGGAAAAATAGCAAACACCCATTTTGAAATAAGAGCGTCAATATAAACGTTAACCAAAACGCCAACACACATATCAGACTTTATTTACCTGGAAAAATTAATTCGGGGGAATTTTTTTTATTTTTTTCAAAGTAAGCAAACGCTACTGCTATTAGTGCGAGAGAGTGGATTAGTGGAAAATGTGCTCACCACTGATGGCTGTGAAAAAGTTGAAGGTGCAATACTTTCACAACTGTTTTATTCTGGTGTTATTTTTCAGAGTCCAAAAATAGGAAAACTGATTTGAAATGTCATTGACAGTATGAAAGTAGCAAAGACCAGATTGTGTGAAAAGAAACTTAGACCAAGTGAGAATGAAAGCTGCGAAATAGGTAAGATATTTACTATGAATCAGAGCTATGACTGGCACTCTGGTTGCTTCATGGTAACTCCTGCTGAAATTCTTTGTTGCTCATTAACTAGATCAGATAAACAAAAAGGGAATTGCTTGAAAGGACTGTAAAACGTGGGTTTCACTTCATTTTTTGGCTGCCCCACGACACTGATGAAGCTTGAGAAATTATTTTTATATCCAAGCTCATATTTTCACACAGTCAGATGACAGGAATGCGTACATTTCAGCTTTTCTCTTTGTAGTCTCACTCTCTCTGTCTCTCTCTCATGTTTTCCCACACACTCTTTCATTTTCCGTTCGCCTTCTCTTTCACTTTTGCTTTCCCTTCCTCCTGGCATTTCCGCATGCTTTCCTTCGCAGTCCAAGCAGAGCTCCTCCTACTCGGACCGGGACACCACGGAGGACGACTCGGAGTCCCTGGAGGACATGGACTTTTTGAGTCGGCAGAAGAAGCTGCAGGCCGAGGCGAAGTTAGCCCTGGCCATGGCCAAGCCCATGGCCAAGATGCAGGTGGAGGTGGAGAAACAGAACCGCAAAAAGTCGCCAGTGGCCGACCTGGTCAGTAGCAACAAGCAGAGAAGGTTTTACAGAGACGGGAAAGATGGATCTTTGATCCTGGCCTCTTAAAAATGATACAAAAACATGCGATTTGTGTAAAACTACTAGTCAGAATAAGGTTACATGTATGGAATAAATGGTGTCCTTTGCTTTATATAGATCAAAATACATTATGAATACAGCAAAGCACACTAATCTCTCTGCATAATGGAAAAGATGTGTCATATCAGATTCATATCAGATTCATATCAGATTCATCATCTTGCTGATTTCCCTTGGCAGCCCCACAAATATGAATGTAAAAATTACAAATAAAAAAAAACAGTACATAGAGGTAAATTAATGCTCATCTGATCTAATTATATGTTAATATCTCTCTCTCTCTCTCTCTCTCTCTATATATATATATATATATATATATATATATATATATACACAACTTCACAATCACATGTAAAGGAAGGCATCTTGAGAAAATTTAGTTAAAGTTTAACAGAAATCTAGCATAAAATGAGAGCAAAGAGGAGCCATGCTTACAAGATGAATGTAGGCCTATGCACATTTTGAAGTAACGCATTAGAAAAGATTGATAAAAACAGCAAAGTTTGAAATAACTTTCTCAATTCCACAAATACATTTTTACACTCATTTTATTGCTGTTTTATTCCATAAAAGAGTTATGGGAAGATGAAAACACTTTTGCCAAATAAGTCCTAACGTAGCGAACGTTTGCCTCACTTCGATGTCACGACTTGTAACAGCACAGCAGATCAGGTACAACTTGGCCAGTAGCACATTTCTGAAAACTTCCCTCCACGTTCCTGAGACGTGTGATCCTTTGTTTATTACAGCCGTGACGAAATTACACTTTTCGTAGCCTGGTTGATTCGCTTCCAAACCAGTAGATGGAAACTTCTCATTTTCCTTTTGTCTTTTTTGCAGCATTTTAAAAGTTGACTCAAAATTCACATGACAATTGGTGAAAAAGTGTGTCAGAAAGCATTCAGTCAGAATGTCAGCTGACTTACAGAGTTCAAAACGTATATTTTGCACCCAAAGGACAAGACAAGACTGGCTTCTCAACAGAACTGACTTCTGTTTATGTAAAACCTGTAGCTGCAGACGTCAGGCGACCATCAAAGTGGTTCAAATGGTTAATGGTCTGCACTTGTACAGGACTTTATCAAGTCAGAGGACTCCAAAGCTCTTCTTCAGTCATTCATAACCATATCCGCACACTTCTGTCACACTGACAGATGCAAGTTGGCTTTCTTCGGTAATGACCTCCGCCAGCAGGCAAGGTTGGTTTCCTGGCCAAGGAAACACAATAACTCAGTTTGACCAAGTGGGGAATCAAACTGGCAACCCTCAGAAATCATATGAATAATTTAAAGACCTATCATAGCCCTTCACTTCAGTCATAAGACTTTAGAAACCAAAGTTCAACACAGTCATACAACTTTAGCCCATAAAATAAAATTTCCCTTTTAACAGGTGTTAAATCTGAATGAGAGAGTTGAAGATGAAGGTCTAAACTTAACAGTAGTCAGAAAAGAAAAGCTGCTGCTTTTTAGTTTTTATAATGTTTTATTTGGCGTGTTTTTTTATTAGAGGCCAAACTTTTGGGACAAATTCGAGATTCATCTGTTTTCTAAAGCATATGCTTATTTCCATCTGATTGTTGAAATTTTGACAATTCTACGCTGATCAGATCGTCTGGACGTATTTGATCAGATACAGTCTTTGACCCGACATGTTTTTGTATGAGGTTTTTCAGCGTTTTTGCAGCACCTCAAAATGGCACTCAGTCTCTTCACATCAGTTTTACATCAATCTTAAGACGCCGCATTTTATTGACACATCCCGTCTCACGCTTTAACCCAGGCGCTGGGTAAAATATCATCCGCTCAAAGTCGTCCTGCAGTTCTTCTATTCCCTCTTCGTCCCACCCCGTTTAGAGAAAGGAAGGTGACTATGACCCCACTTGTCATTATTTCCTGCATTTTTATCTGCCTCCTCCTCTGGAGCACATTCACCAAAAGACTCCACACACACACACACACACACACGCCTACAGTGTCACGCCGGGGCTCGCAGTATTTTCCAGAGCGTATTTACTTATTCAGAGGAGAGCAGGGCAGCTCGACCGGGTCCATCTATAATTCATACGCAGGAAAGCTTTGGTTCGGTTGTTCGGGGATGTAGTTGTGCTCGGCCGTCAGAGGACATCACTGTCGCATCCGAACGCATCACGCGGTGAATGTTGAGGCGTATCTGCCTGCTCTTTCTTTCTTTCTTTTTTTTTTTATCTTTTACAGCAGTAGAGATCTTTTAAACCGATGTTTTCACATGGCAGGTTGAGGTGAGAAAAACACACTTTTTTAAAAAAAAAAAAAAAAAAAAAAAGACCGAGTCAAATTAAAATTCCTGCTGGAAAATTTGTGGATGTTTGCATTACCTAAACAACAAGGTTTAGGAATCACCCTCTCCTCTAGTCTACTACCTTAATTTTCCCAGTTGTCCCAGCCTGGATTTCCCTGTCTTCTTCTCAGTGACAAATAATGAGAGTGTCAGCGATAGCTTGCATGCTGAGACCTCGGGTTTTCCTAAACACACACACAAAAAAAATCACTGATAGAAAATGAGAAAATATAACCAAAAGGAAAAAAAAAAAGTATCAGAATCCTTGCTAGAACTTCTTCTGTAACCCCGGCTTCATTCAGAAATGAGCAAACTTCCTCAGTATAATCCCTGTGGTATCGAGCTCTGAAAGGGTTATTTTCAATTAGCGGTATGATTAGTCCGACCACAGAAACTAAGCAGCTGAGTCAACACCAGCACAGCCATGTTTCACATATCCCACTCACTCAAGACTCTCAGCTCTCCTGATGTCACACAGTTTCACAAACTGAAACTCCAGCGATATTTGTGAAAGTGAAAGAAGAGCCTGTGCACAAAGGAGGATGCATGGAGCATTTCTCCTCCTCCCGCTCCCCCTCGGTGTCTGTGCTGCAAGTGAACGGGATTTCAGTGGGTTGGGTGAGAGCAGCTGGGTTCACGAAGAAACATTTCTATCCCTCAGAGTGTTCCTGAGAGCTTGGTAAATTTTTATTGCTTGTGTCCTTTCGCTCTACAGATGACTGCAAATACGAAACATATCGCTGGACACGAAGAAAAACAAACACGTTCAGAAGCCCTTTAGTTTTGTAGGAATCGTTTTTTGATATTAAAAATATTAAAAGATGAAA